CTTTGCAAGCCTCAGAAGGAAAAAATATATTCAGTACAAATGTTAGCTACTACACTAAATACAAATGGGACAAGCTACCCTATAAAAAGACAATGTCATTTTTTTTTTCAGTCAAGCTGAATGATGTTTATAAGAAAGGTATCTAAAACAGTGACAAAAAGTGTTCATATTCTAGCATGTATAGGAAAATAAAGACCAGAAAGAAAGGAGAAATGCTAAAATAAATTCACGTCCAGGAGATGTAAACATATTTAAAAGGATTCCTAAGATATTATATAATCATGAAAACAAAATCCACTAGAGATATTTTTATACATAGTGTGTATGTGTGTGTAGCCTTTATCGATTAAACAATTTAGCAGCAGAATATATAGTACAAAGCTTCTTGAAAGATAATTGCTCCACTTAAAAAATATTTCTGGGAAATATTTAAGATACCTCTCACAGAACTTGACATGTCAAGCAGGCAAAGTGTGAGAAAGAGTATAGCAATATGAAAAGTAAATCAATATTAGTCCAGATTCTTGAGTCAGGCTACTTAGGTTTTATTCTTCCTCCACTGTCACCCAGTTGGATGTTTTTGGACAATTTAGTTAAACTTTGTATGCTGCAATTTTCCTGTTTGTTAGATTTTGCAAATAATATCAAACCCATCAGGTTGTTATAAGGATTGAATAAATTACTAACGCAAATGTAATGCTTAAGACATTACCTGACACCTAATTTGAGTTATAGAAGTTGCCTATCAATATGATCATCATCATCATCATCATTGTCCAGAAAAAATATAAATGAATAAAACTAGCTCAGATCTATAAAAAACTAAAATGTCTAAACATTAATTGAGATTAGAGAGGTGATTTTCATTGTTTCACTAAAATCAACAATAATAACAATGTCAACAACAAAAATATTTTGGGAGAGTGATAGGCTTATTTATTTTATTTTTTCAAAGCCTTTAAGAGAATCTACAGTCTGTCATCATTTAATTCATTAAAAATCAACTTTATTGAGTTATACTTTACATGAAATGACATATACCCATTTGTCTAGGTTGATAAGATTCGTCCAATACGTATACCCATGTAATCACTGCCACAGTCAAAAACAGAATGTTTTTGTTACCCGAAACATTCCCTGTTGTCCATTTGCAATTTATCTCTTTCTCCTTATCCCTAAACAGACATTCTGTTTTCTGTCAGTATAGAATTGCTTTTTTTTTGATATCTTTCTCTTAGCATAACAGCTGTGGAATTAATCCAAGTTGTGAGTATCAGTAATTTCTGACTCTTTATTGCTAACTTGTATTACAATTATGCATTCACCACAATTTGTTTATCCATTAACCTGTTGATGGACATTAGTGTTGTTTCCAACTTTTGGCTGTTATAAAAAAAATTTGCTATAAAATTTCCTTGCAAAAATGTGTGTGGACATACACTTTCATTTCTTTTGGGTGAATACATAAGAGTGGGGTTTCTCAGTAATATTACTTTAAGAGTGCCAGATTGTTTTATAAAATAATTGTAGCACTTTATACTTCTATTGGCAAGGTATGAATTCCAGTTGTCTCACATACACAAAATCTTTCGGAATTTTCAGTATTTTTATTTTATTTTATTTTATTATTGTCATTATTATTTTGAGACAGTGTCTCACTCTGTTGCCCAGGATGGAGCACAGTGGCACAAACAAGGCTCACCACAGCCTCCATCTCCTGGGCTCAGGTGATCCTCCCACCTCAGCTTCCTGAGTAGCTAGGACTACAGGCACCCGTCACCATGCCTAGCTAATTTTTGTATTTGTTGTAGAGATGGGGTTTCGCCATGTTGCCCAGGTTGGTCTCAAGCTCCTGGGCTTCAGCAATCTGCCTACCTCATCCTCCCAAAATGCTCGGATTACAGGTGTGAGCCACCAGTCCCAGACTGAATTTTCAGTGGTTTTCATTTGAGCCTGTTTAATTAGTGTATAGCTGTATCTTGTGGTTTTGATTTGCATTTTTAAAATAATGATGTTGAGTATCATTTTTATGGGCTTAAATGTCATTCAGATATCTTTGGTAAAGATGACTGTTCATATCTTTTTTTCATTTTCTAATGGGTTGCTTATTTTTTTGTTATTGAAGTGTAAAAATTTCTTAATGATATATTTCAAAAATCAATCTTTTTAAATTGAATAAAGTCCAATATTTCTATTTATTCTTTATGTTCTGTGTTTTTATGTGTGTGTATGCACATGAGTTTTAATAAATCTTTGCTTAATCCTAGGACTCATATTTTATTTCGGAAATTTTTTTTTTCAACTTTTATTTTAAGTTCAGGGATATATGTGCAGGATATGCAGGTTGTTACACAGGTAAACGAGTGCCATGGTCGTTTACTGCACAGATCATCACGTCACCTGGGTATTAAGCCCAACATTCATTAGCTATTCTTCCTGATACTCTCCCTCCTCCCACCCACCAACATGGTTACCAAGATGTGTGCTGTTCCCCCTCCATGTGTCCATGTGTTCTCATCATTCAACTCCCACTTATAAGTGAAAATATGTGGTGTTTGGTTTTCTTCCAGAAATTTTAATGCTGCACCTTTAAGTATGTGATCTATTTCATGTTAGCTTTTTGTGTGTGGTATGAGGTAACGATTAAGGTTAACTTTTTTACAAATGAATATTCATTTGTTCAAGCACAATTTCTTGAATTATTATGCCTTTATCATTGAATTACCTGATACCTTTGTCAAAATCCATTGACCTAAAATCAGCACATATCCATTAGCACAATATCAATTAAATTACCTGATACCTTTGTCTGAAATCCATTGTATATGTGCCAATTTGATTTTGAAGACTTAATTATGTTTTGTTGACCTATCCTGCCAACATCACACTGTCTTTATCACTATTATTAATAGTAAATTGTAAAAATCACAGGATATGTCTGCCAACTTTGTTCTTTATCATTTGATTTTACTTTCTTCGTTAATTTTATTGCCACGTAAGTTTTAACCTCATTCGATGATGCTACAAGAAAACCTACCGATATTTTGACTGAGATTATTTTAAAGCTAAAATCCTATTGGGAGATAATTGCCTTCTTAAAAATATTGAGTGTTTTTGATCTATGAACGTGGCATACTTCTTTACTTATTTAGGTCTTAATTAATTTTCCTTAGTAATTCTGTGTAGCCTTTAGTGTATAGACTTTGTTATATATCCTTGGTACCCACACCTCATCCCCTAGTGTTTAAAGATTAACAAAATGAGAAGATATCAGCACAGGGATCTGAGAAGGAGCAGATAGTAAACTAGAAGAAAAAGCAAAAGCAGTGCTTGAAGGAGGAGTACTTGGTAAACTGCATTACATGTGAGTGACATATCAAGTAAAATTAGGACTAAGTTGACTATTGCATTATTTTATACATAATTTAATATTGACTATGACAAGAAAAACTTATGCGGAACAGTTGGGACAAAAGACTAATCAAACTGGATTCAAGATAAAAAGAGAAAAGATGAATGGAGACAATAAGTTCAGAGAATTCCTTCAAAGTGTTTTACTATAAAGAGAAGCAAGGAAATACAGTAGTAGACAGAGGAAGATGTGATGTTAAAGGGGTGCTGATTTTTAAAATGGGCCAACTAGCAGCAAATCTCTATGCTATAATGCTACAGAAGGTAGGGAGAATTGATGATTCCACAGAGAGAAACAAGTGAGTAGAATGGTCCCTTGTGTAGAAGACTATCTAAAGCACAGTGGATGACTTGGTCTAAGGAGGGAGCACGGTTCACCCCAAGTAACAAGATGAAGGAAGAGTCTGTGGTGACAGGGGCAGATATGTGACTACATGCAGTGCTAGGAGCTTACTGAAGTTTTCTTCTGGTTCTTATTCCTTTTTGGGTAAAATAGAAAGCAAAGCAATCAGCTGTCCTTGAGTATGAGGCAGAGTGTTGGAGATTTGAGTGAAGGGATATTCTTTACATTTGAATGAATTTCTTTCCACAAAAAAAAAAAGCCTACTACGTAATGATTATTTTTCTTAAAACTCTGCAGAAAAAGTCACCTTGGAATTTTTACAAGTAAAATATATTTTTATTCCTAAAGAGCAAGAAATACTTCTAATTTTTTTTAGAAGAGGTTCAATAAAGTCAGATATTCTCTCTATAAAATTATTAGTCTAGTTTGCCTTCCTATGAATTGGGAGAAACAATAGGGTAGCCCATTTTGAGTTTACCTTGTGTTAGGAAGCATCATCTCCTTTATAAAGCCTCTTATAATGTCGGTTAGACCCTGTGAAGAAATCCATAGGACATAGTCATAAAATATAGTCATTGAAACCTTCTTGTTCATCAGGTGAATGCAAATTGAGGCCATGAAATATCTTCTGACTTATTTCCATTTGATTTGGGGATTTCATTTTCTCAGTATCCACTTACTTTAAGATGCTAAGATTATAATTTATTTGTATGCCAACATGAAAATAAGTCCAAACTATCATTCTTTTCTCATGCTATAGCTATGTTTGTATGAATTACAGTCTCTGTGTGCATACATGCATAATTCCTATTCCTTAGTTTTCATCCTTCAAGCAGTTCATCCCTTCAAAACCCAATGACAAGACCAAAACACATTAAAAAGTTTAGTTGGAGAGCCCAGGGTGAGACACAAAACCTATTTTTCCTCTTACAGAGCTCCTATGCAAACACACAGACACTTGTTCTCTGCCTCTGGAATTACAAATATGTTACTTGGAAAGCAGCAATACTCTTTTGGACTTGTTTAACTTCACTTTCTTTACCTGTCTTTGAGAAGCCTCATACACACATTTGAAAAATACAACTTAGAAAGGTTTTAGTGATAGTGCATACAATCATTTGATTTTATTTCCCTTTTCTCTTCACCTTCACTAATAGAAGGAGTTACTGGCATGCTTCAAAAAGCTTACATTTGAATACTGTCTAAATCAGTGCAGACCCTTGACCAGCTTAATCTTTGCTTGCAAATGACAATGCAGTGAAACCAGAGGAAGAAAAAAATTACTTCCTTTCCTTTTGGACACCTAATAAGTAGTTAGTCTGACCCAGTTTTCAATAAGAGAGATTTTCTGATGACCCGGCAGGAGTGACTATCTCCAGTCAAAGAAAGAGGAGGGTGAATTTAATCTTTCATGCCCCTGGAATGGCAGCTGCTCTCAGCTCTGTCTGATTCTGTGAAGGTTGATGAAGATAGAGCTGGCTTTCAATGTAGAAAGAATTTTCCTTTTGAATATTCCAAACGAGAGCTTTGCACATGTGCCTCGAGAACTGATTGTCTAGGCTCCGACAGGAATGCAGCAGGAGAGGAGCGTATTTCATGCTTAAGACCAGAGAAGAGCCACGCAATACTCAGTGGATAAAAGGCTTGCAGTCCCAGCTGGGAAAAAGAGTCCCATTATCTCCCAGCTGCATAGACATTCCATACGGCTTGGTTCTGCCTGGATGCACAGCATGCCTGGCTGAGAGCTTGAAACAGAGTTCTGCAGAAAAATTGTAAAGATCCCGAGACATTTCCCTGGTAAGATCTGTAAGTACAAAATTGTGCTGTCTGCTGCAATGAGAGTATTGCTGGGCAAGCTGCAGCTTTTCTTCCTTTCAATGTCTTTGTATTAGCATAACAGGTAAAAGCTGGGGTTGGGGGAGAAGTCACTGCTTTATTGATGCTGTGTTTCTATGATGTTGATGTTTAAAATGCATTTATTCCTTGTGTGGGAAAAATGTATTGAATCTGTATTCCGGGAGGTTAGGATCAAACCAGGGAAAGAAAGACTACAGGTATATTTTTCAGTGTTTCACTAGTCTTTGCTGCAGTAAAACTAATGGGCAAGACGGGATGACAGTGCTAATTCTGGGACTTTCAGATGGCTACACGCCCTTTCTGTAACGGCAGATGGGAAAATGTGATCACTAAACGTTTTTTGTCCTTTTTTTTTTTTTTTTTAATCAAAGGGATGAGGGGTGGGGTTTGCAGTTTTCACCGGATGATTTAAAAGAATGGTTATAAAGTTTCCTAGGGGAGGATTTGGTAAGGGTAGCAAAGCAAGACTGGAGGTCATACGAGCTTACCAAATTTTGTCTGGCATTTTGCTTTATACCCAGCTTCAAGATAATAGCCTCTGGAGTTTCCTTTGCCATTTACACCAGTTAAGCTTGTCAGTATTAAGGTTTTTATAATACTTTATGAAAACTTTCAGAAGTTGATGACTTGGGAACAAAACTTTTAAGAGCTCTGAGATTAGACACGTATAACCCGTTATGTTAATGGGATACTATAACATTGGGGTTTGGGGGGAAAATTGGAATTCATAGTTTTTGCTTCTCCAAATGAAAACTACTTATGTTTAAATAATCAGCATCCTGACTATGTCCTCTGAGAAACATTCACAGAATGACTAAATAGAAGTTATACTGAGAAAAAATAGACAAAACAGTAGAATCACACAGAATCAATTTGGAAAATGAGATATTCATAATTTTATCTACAGTGGTAATGTTTTCTGAAGATGTCTGTAAAAGAAGGAGCATATGCTGAATATTGAATTGCTTGTTTTGAGCAATTTTCATTTATCAGATGGGTTTATCATCTTTTTATTGCTGTTGTTGAAGGTTTCACCAATTTATATGCATTGTATTTTATAAGGAAAGAAGATGTTTAAGCAGACTCTTTTCCCTCCTCCTTCACACACATGTGTAAACATACGCGTGTTCACAAAACAAACATAAACATACAAAAATACTAACACAATTTGTGTAAAAAATCAGAAATACAGAAGCATTTCATCTTTGATGTTTCAGTGGAGTTTCTTTTTCTTTTTTTTTCTTTTTTGTAGCAATAATCATGGCTGTGCAGTCCAAATATTTCAAATATATAAATGTGGAAACTTTTATATAAAGGTTTACATGAGGTTATACAAATGCATAACTTATCACATCTTAGCAAAAAAGTCAATCATTTATAAACGACTTCATTGTGTTACTTCCTTTGAATATTTGTAGTGAAGGACCAGAATATTTTTTTAGAATTTTTATGTAACTTTCCTTAATGAAAACAAATTCACTTGTTTATTTAGAAAAGGATTACATATTTTCTCTGAGTTTAGACCCCCCCCAAAAAATCAATTATGTTGTGAAAAGAATGTGTGGTGTATTAAATTGATTGCATACTTCTGAGTTGTGTTTTCTTTTTTAGTAAGTAAAAATGCTCAGTAATATAATATTAAATTTGTATCTTTTAAATTCTTTTATGTGAGGAGAAGGAATGCAAAATATTTGCTTATTTATTTACTTACCTGTTTATTTTAATAGCATATTAATTGAAATGCAGAAGTATAAGTTCAACCCATTAAAAATGACTCAAACTATACATAAAAGTTCAAAAAGGAAACCCCATCACCTGTAAATAACAATCACAAAATTTGACAACTATCATTGGAGACATCCTGATGCCTAACTAAATTCAGATAGGGTGAGAGATAAATACTTTTGTAAGAACGGTTTCTTATTATACACCGTTTTAAAATTAATAAGAAATATTTAGATAATATAGTCAATAATAGATAGTCTTCTGTAAGAATGAGAGGTTGTCCTACGCTTAAAAAAAAAACCAGAAATATTGGCCTGGCTCTGTGGCTCACACTTGTAATCCCAGCACGTTGGGAGGCCGAGGCAGGTGGATCACGAGGTCAAGAGACTGAGACCATCCTGGCCAACATGGTGAAACCCCGTTTCTACTAAAAATACAAAAATTAGCTAGGCGTTGGGGGCTTGCACCTGTAGTGCCAGCTACTCAGGAGGAGAATCGCTTGAACCCGGGAGGCAGAGCTTGCAGTGAGCAGAGATGGCACCACTGTACTCCAACCTGGGTGACAGAGTGAAACTCCGTCTCAAAAAAAAAAAACAAAAAACAGAAATATTGAGTTTGATTTTAGATTTTAATTAAACTGAAAAAAGAGAAGTTGAAACAACATTGAAGAAATTGTTGAATTTCAGGTATAGATTTCTTTCCAAGGGAGATATTATGTCCAGAATAATACCCATATAGCCAAAAATTTTGAACATAGAAATAGTTTGAAGGTTTTTTTTTGGATGCACGTCTATGTAGTAAACAAACTTTTATAACCCTTGTTATGATAGTTAAATGCATTTGAAAGGTGCTTTGTTGTCATCAACTCTACCCATACCACCTGAATTTAAACTACATCAGTTTTACATTATAGAGTATGTACATTCTGGCTGAATTCCCACGATCTTAGACTAAACTTATTTCAAAATTGAAAGGAATTATTCTTTACCAACAGGCTTTTACTACCCAATTCACCATTCCTGCTTTCTTTGCTTTTAATTATTTTTTGGGTTGTTAGATTTCACTAAGTAGTACTTCTCCACCAAAGAAATAGTCACAGGTGCTATATTTTCTGTGAGTTTGCATACTTGAACATGAATTTCTTTTGCCTTAGACATGCAAGATACATTATCTTTCTTGGATCAAGCTTAATTTTTTATTTTGGAAATGTGTAAATGTTTAAGCATTTTTGGAGACTCTTTCCATATTGAAAGTTGTTTTGCAACATTTTTAGGTATGTCTGTAATTTCCGTCATTGAACGTGACTTGCTTTTTTTCTGATAAATGCCTACGCGATTCATTCGTTGTGTGTGTGTGTGTGTGTGTGTGTGTGTGTGTGTGTGTGTTTGTTTTTACAGAATATTCCTGGATTAGTTCCATTTTCATTAACATTTTTTGAGGTTTGCCCCATTGATTTAAGATTCTTTTATTTCAGAATTTGTTGTTGGACTATTTCTTTTTTGTCCCTTAACTGGGCGTGGCCAAATTGTGATTATCTTGCTTCTTTCTTTTCTTCAGGATCACCAATTGTGTACATGTTGTATCTCATTTGTCTGCTTTCCACATCTTTCATATCCAAATTTCTTTTCAATTTCAATTGACAGATTGGTTATCTTCTTTACTTGAGAGCCACTTATTCTCTTGTTTGCCACTTGAATGAATAGTATAGCTTATAGTAAACCTATTAAGGCACAACCTTCTGTATTGTGATCTTGCAAATACATGTTTCCTTCTCTCAACACTCTAGCAATCTCCTCAGTTGGAAGGTTTTTGGGCAATCTATATCCTCTGAAAGTAAGAGAAAAAGAAAGTACTTACCAGTTTTCTCTGATGTCCCCCAAAAGTACATGTTTTTTAGCATTTGGCAACAATGGAAATGGGCTTCAAGTTGTGTTTTGGGGTTGTGTCCACTAACAGTTTCATTGAAGACAGAGGGTTTTTTGCTTTGTTTTTTATCCCCACTGCTACCACTGCTACCTTTTATATTTCTCCTTATTTTTTTCTCCGGGACAATAGAGAAAATAAAAAAAAAAAAAACTCTTTATTTAAGGAGTTTTAAGTAGCAGTCTTTCAGTTAGGAAGAATTCTTTGAATGAAAATTTTATTAGAATGTTGTTATTGTCAGTATTCATATTGAAAAGAGCTTAAAACTGAGTTAATCTACATGGTGTGTTGTAGTATTAAACATTTATTATGGTAAAGACATAACACAGGACATAGTAGAGGAAAAAACAGAGTCATTGGGCATGCCTTCTGATAATGTCCCCTATTAGTCTATATTGATGAAGTCTGTGGCCTACTTAACTATTTTGCAATGAGTCCTAAGGTAATTTACAGAAACTTTACATCATAGTAACATGAATCAAAATCTGTAGACTCAAATTCTTTTTGAAAGTACACTGAGTATAAAACTTACATGTATTAGATTTACAATTAAATGAATAAATGAATGAATAAATAAATGATGTTCCTTAGATCTCAAATCCTTAAAAGAGGCAATAAAAGAACATGATGTATCCTATGAAGTGTTCTAAAAAACTAATGATCTTACTAAAAAACAAATCGCATTTTCTCAAAGTCAATAAAATGATAGTGAGAGCAAAATTCAGGAGGCAAGCTCTTGAGCTGAAACAACATGCACTGTAGCTTTCCTTCCCTATATCTAGCACAGAATAGTTCTGTGGTCTTAGGCAAGTTTCTTAGCCTCTTTATACCTCAGTTTTCCCATTCATAGTGGAGATAATATTAGTATTGACTTTGCAGTATTATCAAGAGAATTCAGCAGGTAAATATGTAAACAATCTTGGAAGAAAGCCTGACAATTAATAAGCACTCTATGTGTTAGTTGTTTAGTTATTGTTATATTATTATTACTATTATAACATTTGTATATGAGCCTTGGGATCAGTGGGGTAAAAATAATATAAAACAATGAAAAGAATAAAATTACAATTATCATCTAATCAATTGTATTGGGTATTTAGTAGAGAATTAAATTTGGAGTGTAAATCATAAGTGGATATTAAAATAGAGCTCAGGGAAAATGGTGAGAAGATCTAGAGATGCTGGTCCCTGGATCCAACTAGATTAAAAATAGAAACGGTATTTCTGTATACACTGAGCAATTGGACCTGATCAAGAAAAAGGGTATATTTAATTTTCTGATTATAAAAGCAATGAACAGA